CTCAGAGAGGTGTTTTTCTGATTAAATGGAAGAATATATGTAATACACAGAATAGTGTCTGGATCAAACATTGTAAATGCAATAAATGTTGGATATTAACCAGCTGCAGTAAACACTATTATAAAATGGAGATCATACTTAATCTATCATCATGAGAAAAGTACAGATTAACATGTTATAATTACCCATTAAACATTTAAGCAATATCACGTACAAGACCTTTTGGCGGATACCAGGATATAATCTTTGTCCTCCAGGAGTTTAGAATCTAGCAGAGGATATTAAATACACACATGGAAGATGTGTGTGGAGTAAAATCAAGGCCATCAGAGGAAAAAATGAAGTAAATCAATTTTTTTGATTCCTCTAAGGAAGCAAGAGGTTTTAAAGAGGACAATGTTTGAGATGAACCTAAAAGGATGGACTGATGTTTTAGAACTTTGAATGAAATATGACACAGAGAAGTTTCAAATGATCATGATATATTAAGCTAATATTGATTGGATATTAAATCAGACATAATGATTGATGTCAATATGTACAGTATGAGCCCCTCCCCAATTTTTATTAAAATTATTCATATAAAGGCCTAGATGGAGAAATTAAATGATTCTTTCTTGGTGGTGAGATTATGGGGAATATTTGTTTTCCTTATTCTTTTAATTTTTTTAAAAAAAGTTTTTTTGATATTTAAGATTGTATAAATATGTATTTTACCAGAGTAGTTTTAAATTTTTTATTTTATTTTATTTTATTTTTTACAAAACTACTTTTTAAAGGGCTGGGTCAAATCAAAGCTGCTAATTTAAGTATAACTTGGTACAACCTTTACAAAATCATTTTGGCAGTTTGTATTAGTAACTATAAATGTTTGGATATACTTTTACCTAATGATTTCATTTCTGGGTATTTATCTTAAAAAATCTACATTCATGAATGTCCTGTGATTTCTTTGTAACGGCAAAGAGAGAAGGGAATAAGTTATGTCTAAGAATAGAGAATTCAGTAAATTTTCCATGTCCACTTAATATAATTTTATACAGCTGTTAAAATGCTGATGAAGCTTATGAGAAATATGAAAAATGCTTAAACATGTGAAAAAACAGGACCCAAAAACTGTGTGCACTCTATGATAACAACATTGTAAAATAAATATGCATGGGACAAAATATCTAAAAGAAAATACACCAGATGCTGAGAGTGGCCATGTTTGTGTGAAGGAATTTTTCTTTATTGTCCTCATGTTCTACAATGCAGTTAAAATTATTTTTACAATGAAAGCAATTATTTTAAAGCCTGGGTATAAAAAGTTTCCTCAGGGGCGCCTGGGTGGCTCAGTCGTTAAGCGTCTGCCTTCAGCTCAGGTCATGATCCCAGGGTCCTGGGATCGAGCCCCACATCTGGCTCCCTGCTCCGCGGGAAGCCCGCTTCTCCCTCTCCCACTCCCCCTGCTTGTGTTCCCTGTCTCACTGTGTCTCTCTCTGTCAAATAAATAAATAAAATCTTTAAAAAAAATAAAAAAAAATAGTTTCCTCACTGACACTCTGATTTGAAAGTACTAAATTAATTGAGTATTAATTACCTATTCTATATATTCCTTTATAGTTCCTTAAGCTTCTACAGACCACATTTTGAGACTGTCTCTCTAAAGTTTATCTATGTGCGGTCGTCCTGCCATGATTTGCATAGAAGCGAATGACAGAAGGGACTCTCCTTTTACAAATGAGAACTCTGAAATCCAGCCTTCTAAGCTGGTAGCAGAACCAAAATTGGAACCCAAGTCTACGAGGATATTTAATAGCATTTAATACCATTTGCAGCTCCAGATCCACCCATGAGTGCTAATAAACTGGTCTGATCTATTGACTGAACATTGGCGTTGCTACCTTTCCGGCTCGCCTGAGGGTTTGATTCCTTTCCTGGAGCTTTCGCTCTTCTCCACCACTCGGGGGCCCGCAATACTTCACGGTTTTTAAGTCCCTCACTCTTTCCGTGCCCAGCGTCCGCAGTACCGCAGAACACCCGGCAGGAGTCGCTGCAGCCCCCTCCCCCCCGGTACCGCGGCCCCTCCCCTGGCCAACCGTCGATTGGGCCGGCGCGTGACGTCACGCCGTTTTAGCCAAACAAATGGGTTTCGGGGCGAGCGTTGGGCTCCGCCGCGCCGCGCTGGGCGCTCGGTCCGCCTCAGCGGTGGGGAGCGAGCCAGGCCTCCCGCCGCCGCCGCCGCCGCCGCCGCCGCATCGGGGTGTGCAGCCCCGGGCCAGGCCCCGGCCGGGGCAGGAGCGCAGGTGGGTTGGGGCCGCGGTGGGGCGTGGCGTGAGGGCAGCGCGGTCGGGGTCCTGCGGCGGCGGCCACGGTGGCCGCTCCCCGCCCCCTCCCGCCGCCTGCCTGCGCTCCCCGGGCGCGGGGCGGGTGGGGGCGGGGGCGCCGCCCGCGGGTCCCGGGCTCGCGGCGCGCTCGGCGCGTCTGTGGTAAGGGCCCGGCGGCCCGTGCCTCCTCCCGGGCCGGTCTCAGCCAGCGCACTGGCCGGGCGCTCGGCGCCCCCGCGGGCCAAGGAAGGTCGAGCGGGCCGGCAGGCGGCAGCCGGGTCCCGGGTCCGGGCTGAAGCTCAGGAGATCACGGATAGGCCGTGAGGAGGCACTGGACCGGCTCTCTCCAACCTCCTTGCCCCGCGGTAGGTGAGGAAGTCGAGCTCTGGGTGGGGGTCGCCTCCCCTGGTCGCGCCCGCCTGGGCTCGGCCACCCTGTCCTTTCCGCCCCGGCGCAGGTGAGCTGACGCCTGCCCTTAATCTTCCTTGGGGACTGGGCAGGACGGGGGCTCGGAAGCTTCTCTCGCCTCCGGGCTGGCGCAAGTCGACTGCGGGTCGGCCCCAGTCAGCGATGAGGTCATAGTACTCTGGGTCCTCGTGTCTGTGACGTCAAGGGTTTCCAAGAGATGGGCTGTGATGTCACAGCAGGCCCCGGCTTGGACCTTGGCGCGCGGAAGGGCGGGGAAGACCAGGAGGGGAGAAAAAGGAAGTTCAGTCTTCTGTTGACGCCTGGAATCGCAGCGGATTTGAATCGAAAGTGGTTCGATATCCAGCATTTCACAGTTGTAATAGTTGTCAAGTTCTTTAACATCATTTCAAGCAAGCCTTGTTAGTACAGCTCAATATAAGACATGATTTAGAAAAATCTAAGGAGGTTTGGGGGGTTGAGTGTTTAATGTAAATGCCTTTCAGGAAGCTGACCTCATAGTTTGATGGTTTGTGATTGGAATTGCTGAAGAAATAGAACCAGTTGGAGTGCTGATAATTCAATTTGCCTTACTCTTTTTTGCTACAGTCTTGAAATTATATACGGTATCTGCTTGTTTGCGTTTTTGTTAGAGAGTGGCTAGGAAGAGGGAGAGCAGATCTTAAATGAACTTTTTCTGTTGTGGAGGGATGGGGAGGGAAGTGTGAATTAATCCAGTATTCTTTTAAAATAATAATTACCTAACGATTTAATTTATCGAGGTTGTCTTTGTCCTTTGCTGTCATGGATAATTGAGGGTTTCCTATGGTTATAACTCATCAACAAGCCGTTTTCTTGCTTTCCTACTAAGACTGGGCTATGACAGTAACATTCCCAGGATGGCTTGTCTGGACAAGTAACTAAAATTTTGTGTGTATTGCTTTCAAATATGAAACTAACAGAATTTCATTAAAGTGCCTTGTCTGTGGATATTGTTTTTCTTCCAAAGCTTTCAAATGAGATCAGGCGACACCAGAAAAGAAGTGAGTCACTTGCCATTACTGACCCTTTTCAGGTATTTCAGCATATCAGTTTAATTTCTTCCTCTTTATAGGATCATTTAAATAGAGTCTAGTTTGAAAGGTAGTTGCCTTAAAATTGAAGCATAATTACAATTTAGGGTCTTCAGCAGGAAGCTTGGGTAGGAGTCCTCAGGCCTTCCTCATTGATGTTGATTTGTAATGGTAGTTTTTTGTTGTTAATACTTCATCTCCATTTGCTCTTTAAAAGTGATAAGGGATTGTCTTTCTGGATTTTGCACCAACATGCTGGTGGAAGTTATGCTGTGTACATTAACATAGGAAATGAAAGCAAAAATTTACTCTCATTAATTGTTGAATTTGACTGGAAGTTCACAAAAGAAGGCTTACTTCTAAATCTCATTTTGATCCTCACTCACCATACCCTGGAAATTTGGCAGCATTGTGTGTAATACTGAAAGTTTTTTTTTTCTTTTAAGATATTAGGAATTATATGTTAACAATGTTGATCGAAGGCTCAAGACAAAATTTGAGGCTTTGGATCCTCAAGACTGATAGTTACAGAGTTAAGGTGGAACTGCTGATAGTGAGGGTGTTAGCCTACTCTTAAGATGAAAGGATCATGGAAAGATACTATGTAATGAAATTGAAGGAGGTTCAGAAGGACACTTGCATGTGTCTTTTCCAAGTAACATTTCTGGGGCAGGCTTTGTGGCTCTGTGTAAATTAAGTGTACTTGTGTATGTGGGAAGAGATGAAAGTTAAACTAAATGTGAGTTGAAAGACATTTAATAGTAATAATAATAATAATAATAATAATGATAAAATAGCCCTGCTTTGCATGCTTTTTTCCCTCTATTGTGTTTAGTAGTTACAAATTTTTTTTCCTAATAGAAAATGAGATAATAGGTTGAGAATAATGTCTTCAGTGTATTCTGATGTGATTGAGGGACAATGACATTTAAAAAAGCCAGCTTATGTATACAGTTTATAACTGTTTAACAAGCCATAACTCTTCTGAAACATTTTTACAGCTTGCTTCTACCTTTGGCAGGATGTTTTTCTACCCAGGCCTTGAAGTTTTGAGTCTAGTAGCTTTTACCTCTTATAAATGGGAATTTATTTGAAATCGGGTTTATTATTATTTTATTTATTTATTTATTTATTTATTTATTTATTTATTTATTTATTTATTTATTTATTTTTTAATCTATTCATGAGAGTCAGAGAGAGAGAGAGAGAGGCAGAGGCAGAGGGAGAAGCAGGCTTCCCACCTAGCAGGGAGCCCAATGCGGGACTCGATCCCGGGACTCCAGGATCACGACCTGAGCCGAAGGCAGACGCTTAACCATCTGAGCCACCCAGGCGCCCGGGGTTTATTATTATTTTAAAATGTCATGTTATTTTATTCAGTTACTGCACTTGAAAGGACGAAATCATTCATTAGTGACTATAGCATCTTTTGGACAGGTAAAGCAAATATGAAGAATGAAAGTGCTGTATTTTGTGCATTTTCCAAATTATTTGGATATGTTTATTGGATCAGTTCTGTGAACACATAGAATTTAAATTCCTATGCAAAATTTCTACTTTATTTTTTGAACTTAAACTTATGCTCAGTTTAATTTGGAGTTTTGATATTCTAGTAAGCCTTAATCTTGTTTCAATATTTGTTGGGGGAGAACATACTAATCGTTAGAGACATCATTTAGTGTTACCTTCCAAAATTTGCAGCTGTTTAGAACCAGATACTTGAGGGACGCTACTGTGGCATAATGAATGCCTTCCTTGTTAAGTCATGTGTGACAAAGGCAAAATTCAGCAAGTGCATAATCTACAGTCCTTTGGAAGCATCAACAAGAAAGAGCAGATTAATTCCAAATGCATTTAGGTTATCTGGAAATTGAATTCTTGTCATTCTTTATCTTTGTATAATTTAACTTTAGTTGATGTTTATGGTATTTTGAAGCTGATGAACGTACTATATTATCTAGGAGAGTACTAATGATTAAAATGTAGGTGTTTCTTAACATTAGCTGAAAGAGTTTATCAACCTATCATTTCCAACTCCATCTTCTAGTTAGCTCTCCACAGAGGAGCCTCCAGATCTTCTCCTTTTAAATATTCAACTTCAGAATCCTAGCACATACATTTCCTGTCCTCAGGATAATGTAGGTATAAATATGAACCTAAGCATTAATATGTGTGATTAAATATTATTATAAGGCATGGGTTTCATTCATCTAACAGACAATTTTTGAATACCTCTATACCAGGTACTCAGCCAGGGACTGTGACATGCAGATGAATTGTCCTTGCTGCAAGGATCCTTGACCTTTGTGTTAATATTCCCTTGCCATGGAGGGCCATGGGTTTGAGGAGCCAGAATTGGACAAAGAGGATGAGCCATTTATGTTATGCCAGATTGGCCAGAGGTCTCATCTCAAGGTCAGTTTAAGGAGGTATTTAGAAACTCAGGTGAAAAGAATGGGGAACAGATTATCATATAGGCAAAGGGTCCAGACTCCACAGATTTCGATTATTCCAAAATGAATGGAGCTTAGTGAGTGAGCACTTTCTTTGAGTCAAGAGCAAGCGCTCAAAGCCAAAACTAGTCTGTGTAGGCAGTCTAAAATTAGAGCTAGAGTGAAGAGGTAGAATCCAGACACCCCACTCTGAGGTATGTATGTACGTTCTCTTTCTTCTGTAAGGATGTTCCTTTATTTTTTTTAATTTATCTTTTTAAAGATTTTATTTATTTATTTGACAGAGAGAGACACAGTGAGAGAGGGAACACAAGCAGGGGGAATGGGAGAGGGAGAAGCAGGCTTCCTGCCGAGCAGGGAGCCCGATGTAGGACTCGATCCCAGGACCCTGGGATCATGACCTGAGCCAAAGGCAGATGCTTAACCAACTGAGCCACCCAGGCGCCCTGTTCCTTTATTAATTATTTTCATTCCTTTTCTTGACAAACCTGCAAAATATGTGAGCCTCTCACAGCCTTCATTTCCACTTTATTTTTATTTTTTTAGAGATCTTATTTATTTATTAGAGTGAGCGAGCGAGAGAGCACAAGCAGGGGGAGTGGGAAAGGGAGAAGCAGGCTCCCCGCTGAGCAGGGAGCCCGACCACCCCTGGGATCAAGACCTGAGCCGAAGGCAGACACTTAACTACTGAACCACCAGGCGTCCCTTCCCTGACATTTTATTTTGAAAAATTTTAATCACAGAAAAGTTACAAGAATTGTTTGTTGAACAATTGAATACCTAAGTACCAACAAACGTAGATTCTATAATTTATAATTCATATTTTGCCATATGTACTTAGCTATCCATGCATCCTACACTCCCTCTCTTTATCCTTCATCAATCCATCTTCTATTTAGTTGTATTTTTACTCCCAAATACTTAAGTGTGCCTATCATGAACTCTTTGTTTACTTGTTTTTTGTTTTTTTAAGAGTGAGAGTGCACGAAGGCCGGGGGTACAGGCAGAGGAAGAGAGTGAGAATCTTAAGCCCCACTTAGGGCTGATCTCAAGACCCTGAGATCATGACCTTAGCTCAAATCAAGAGTCAGACGCTTAACTAAGCCACCCAGGCACCCCTGTTTACTTGTTTTAAGGTAAAATTTATATACAGTAAAATGTACAAATCTTATGTATACCATAGCCTAACCTTGGACAAGTTCATACATCTTTGTAACCTATAACCCTGTCAAGATATTAAACATTACTATCACTAGAGAAAGCTCCTTCATGTACCTTCCAAGTCAATTTGATTAACTTTATAATCTTCTGCAGTCTTACTTCCACCAGTTTCTTCTGAAACTAGCTGTTCAAAGGTCCTATTTTGTTAGCACATTTGAGTAGCATTGTGCTAGGTGTTCAGAATGTAAAGAAATGAAGAACACAACTTCTATTTTCTTTAAGCTTACAATTCATTTTGGGTTTTAGTTAGGGGTTGGTGTCTGAAAAGAGATAAGTAAATGTTATATGAATTCAGAGAAGGCAACTGGGTCTGCCAGAGAAAGCTTCCTAGGTATGGGTCTTGAATTGGGCCTTAATTTTAGAATCCAGAGAAGAGTTGGGTTTTGGTTTGTTTTTTATTTAAATAGATTGTATGATTTGAAGTTAGAAGTTATTGTATTAAGGAACAGTAGCAGGGGGGATGGGTTAGCCTGGTGATGGGTATTAAGGAGGGCACGTATTGCATGGAGCGCTGGGTGTTATATGCAAACAGTGAATCGTGGAACACTACGTCAAAAACTAATGATGTACCGTAGTACTGTATGGTGACTTAACATTACATTAAAAAAAAAAAAGGAATAGTAGCAGACAAGTGTGGTTGGGAGTGAGTATAAACATTATTTTATACCCAATGATAATTTTTGAAGAAGAAAGTAATGTAAAAAAACAGATTAGGGGCACCTGGGTGGCTCAGTCGGTTAAGGCATCTGCCTTCAGCTCAGGTCATGATCCCAGGGTCCCTGCTCCATGGGGAGTCTGCTTCTCCCTCTTTCTCTGCCTGCCCTCCCCCTGCTTGTGCTCTCTCTCTCTCTTTCTCAAATGAATAAATAAAAATCTTTAAAAAAAAACCATTAAATTTTTATCTTGTTTGTTATCTCTGGTATTTGTGTAGATGACTTCATTTTTTGAGTTCTCTCCTTTTCTTGGTTCTTTGTCTGTCTGGTTTCTCAGCTATGCTGGCATTTCTTTCTCTTCCAGATTTAAATTATTGAAAGGTTTTTCTTGACTGTTTATTGTGTTCTTTGGTATCTGACCCTTAGCTGTTAGGGCTTCTCAATTATAATTCCAGGTCATGGCCACATCTGTATCCATAAGCTGTTAACTCTTACTAGGTTTCTGACTGCTAATAGGATGCTGCTTTTTGTATGTCCCTGTTTACTTTGTACTTGTTCAAGAGTCTGTAGCAAGAGCATTTGTTTTAAGTAGTTGTAGCAAATGGGATTTATTAAGAAAGAAAGATGTACCCCTGGGCTGAATGAATAGACTAGAGAGAGCTTTTAGGAATAAACCCCAGAATGACACTGCGGAATTTGCCTGCTCAGGGAGCTACTGCCATCGAGGACCATGTTGTTGAATCAGAAAGCTGCTGCCACCATACCTGACAGAAGTTTAACTTCCTAAAAAAAAGGTAGTTTAACTTCCTTGGGCATAACTATCATTACATGTTATTTTTTGCCCTACATATCTTATGCAGGTATGTCTGCTTAGCCACACTTAGGTCAAATGTGAAACCTTAGTTTCAAGGGCATCTGGAAAATGTAGTTTTTAGTTGTTCAGTCTCTATAAAACAGGAAATCTATGTGAGAATGGATTGAAGTACTGAGTGACACTCAGTTTGTGAAAAACTAAACTCATTTTCCCCAGATTCCCTCAGTGTAACAAAGTCAAGTCTTTCAAAATTTTGCTGTTTCTGTGCAAAGACCATGGGTATTGTTCTAGTTTCCTGAGATAGGAACTATTGAAATCAATTGTACCATTTAGATTTTATGTTCTGGGTATAACAAAACCAATTCAAATTTATTAGCTCACAATACTGTAAAGTCCAAAGGTGAAGCTTGATAAATTGTACTTATGTGATCAGAATTTCATCTTTCTCTCTTTTCCTTTATTTAATGAGCTCTGCTTCTGATATGTTTGTCCCTTTGTGGTCCCAGCATGTTTGTCAGCAGCTCAAGGTCTAGGTCCTCATGCCAACAAATCCAGAGGGGAGGGATGAGTGCTTCAGCAGAAGCTGTAGGGCAGGGCTCTTGACCTTTGTTCCTTCCTCCACTCCTTTGGCAGTCTGAAGCCTATAGGACTCTTCGTGGGTTATGTTTATTTTATTTTAATTTTATTTTTAAAAAACAGTTAAGAGTAACAGTATTTCACCGGTGGCCCTCAAGGCTGGCCAACCTCATCCCAACTTGTGGAGGGGGTGGGGCACCAGTGTCCTCCCACTCATTTTACACCTCTCCTGTCACTTCACCATGCCAGACTAGAGTGAAGCTCAACAGGGTCGTCTTTCCATGTTCCCTTGGCTGTGGTTTTGCTGGATAGTAGGTAGGGACAGTGGGAATCTTGTTCCTGTGCATCACTAATTATTAGGTGGTGAGGCATTTGGCTACCTTAAGAGAGTCCTAGTTACTCCCATGATTTACCCAGGCTTCATTGAATTTCTTCACTTTGACATTTAGAGCACTGGCCAGAAATCACATCATGTCAACACCCGCCGAGGGCCTTCACAACTATTTTTAAATAAAGTACATGGGTCTAACAAAGAGCAGTTATATTAAAATACCATTATCAAAATATTTTTAAAAAATTGTAAGAGAGTATGTGCTTCTTTGTTAAATAATAAGATTTAGTATGGCTCTAATAATTTCCAAGTAGTGATGAACATTGTCACTACTTGTGTCTGCAACCAATGGTAATGTGATAGGAAACTATCTGTGATTTCTGCGGGTAACAGAGTGGTGTTACTAATATTGTGATCTGTTGACTGGACTCACAAAAGGACATGCTAAATTTCAGTTAAATTTAGTGAAGTTAAAGATCTCTTTCACCCCCTCATCTGAGCTTAGACACCCTGAGTTCTATATCTAAACCTTTTGGGGGATCTGTGCACTTCAGCTTAAGAAGTGTAGCTAGAAGAGAGTTTCTCTTCCTGGAAGTCCCAGCAGATGTCTTGTGTATCTCATTGACTTTGGGTTAAATTGACATTTCTGAATCAACCACTAAGGCCAGATAAGATTTGGTAACTGGTTTAGCCAGCCTGGGCCTACCCCTGGAGCTGAGGTGTTGGGGTCATTGCTACCTATACAGCATGATGGCTTAGCTTTTTTTTCCTGAGGGAAATTAAGGGGCTACTGGATGTTGAGTAGCAAATAGTAGATGTCATCCTTAATTCATCCCCTCTCCTTTGCTCCCATAGTCAACCAGTCATTAAATTTTAGTGAATCTTTCAGTTGGATTTGTCTTTCCCTTGATCAGTCTCTCTGCTAACATTCTAAGCCTCCAGTATGGAGCATATGGGATAGTCCATTGGGTTGCAAAAAGAAAAGTATTGGAACTTCTAGTTATTTTTTTCATCCTTTTAGTATTTATTTTTGTGTTTGTTTTATATTGTATGTAAAACAGAGAAGTTTGGTAGTACATGCATAAATGTAAAATTTAGAAGTATATACATTTATGTGGGTGCATGTTAAAAATCATGGGAGTGGGAGGGTCAGAAAAGTTGAGATAACCATAGAGCAGTGCTGTTCAGTTGTTCAGTAGAAATATAATGTGAGCCATATGTAATTTAAAATTTTCTAGATTACCACATTAAAAATGGTAAAAAGAAACATCTGGAAGTAACTTTAAAAATGTTATTTAACATAATATATCCGAAACAGCAGGATTTGAACAGGTAGTCAATATAAAAAATTACTGAGATAGTTTACG